GATGGAGATTAAACACCTAGGGGTGGCTAGGGTTTGCTAAGAGTGAAAAGATTATGTTAAAAAGGCTCCCTAGGGTTTGCTAAGGAGAGGTTAGCATGGTAATACAATAAGATGGGCGCCAACTGGGTTTAGTAGATAGGAGGTGCCCTCCTGTTCTTAGTTCTTTACAAAAACATTCCCTCTCTCAGTTGGTCTTCACACTAGCTTCCCAAAAACTGCACTTTAGCCTAGAAAACTTCCCATTTTTCTACATAATTTGCACAGAGACMTTCAGATGTCACATAATTGATTTTAACTGGGAAAATGGTACACTTTGATTAATCTAAGGCCAAAAATACTACTGAATTGATGCCCTTAAGGCATCAAAATGCAGGATCATCACACCCCCTAACTTAAACATTGCTAGTCCCTTAGCATTGCAGCCTTAAAATTACACTGAGTATATAGATATTTCCCATTACAAGGTCATCCCTAACAGAATTAATCAAGCATCCTGATCCCAGCATTCTCAAACTTTGTATAGATCGTTATTGGGCTTTAGGGGTAAAATTATCTTATTTTGAATATTACCAAAACATGGCTTAAAAATCTTATTTACCCTTTTGCAAATTGTCTTGATACAATGAGATTGAGTTTAAAATCAAACAAATATTCTTCTTATTATTTTTGACAGCGGATTTCTACCCCTAAACTTATTTTTATTGTTACCTTTCACCATTTTATGTGAATCCCAACACTTGCCTTAGGTGAAGAGACCCAGTTACTAAGTGTTAGGTAAGTGTCTTTGGCATTCCTTTTTCCGTTTGATGTGAATCTCGACATTTGACTTAGGCGAAGTGACCCAGTTACTAAGTCTAGGGTGTCCATTGACTTTTTATTCATTTTTTTGTTCTTTTTTGTTCTCTTTTTTTTTTATTTTGCAAACATTGTTCAGGGTAGTCCACTGTTTCTAACAATTTTGAAGAATTTTTGTCTAATTTCTCAATCTTTCTCTCCTTATCTTGGTAGGGGCAAACTTGGGAGTATTTTCCAATTTCTAAATGGTTTCGACAATATTCAAACAAGACCAATTTTGACTCCTATCATTTGCTACCAATTTCTACAGAATTCAA